GATTTAGGGCTTAGGTTTCAGGGTTGAATGGAATGTTTGGGGTTAAGGGTTCAGGGTTTTGGGGTTCAGGGTTAAGTGAAGGGTTCAGGGTTTTGGGGTTCAGGGTGTAGGGCTCGTAGGATTTAGGGTTTAGAGTTTAGGTTTTAGGGTTCAGGGTTTAGGGCTTAGGGTTTAGAGTATGGGGTTTAAAGTTCAGGGTTTAGGGCTTAGATTTCAGGGCTTAGGGCCTAGGGTTCAGGCTCTTGAAGGAACCCTTGAAGGAACGCTGAGGGGAATGGGCTTTGAGCTGAGGGTTTTAGGCCCACTTTAAGGTTTCGGGTTCAGGCTTTTAGGGGAAAGGGTTTTGCGTGAAAGTATTTTAGGGCCCATTTAGGGTTTAGGATTTTCGGGTTCAAGGTTTGGAGTTTAGCGTTTCTACAGGGCCATAGGGTTTAGGATATCGGCTTTTAGGGAAAAGGATCTTGAGTTTAGTGATCCTATGATGCAGGGGTCTTGTGCTTCGAGCGTGAAGGGTTTCGGGTTTAGGGTTTAATGTTTAGGGTTTAGGGTTTGAGGCTCAGGGCTTTCAGGGATATCGGTAACTGGGGTCCCTGGGTAGGAGAAGTTCGAAGGACTCCGCGTGGTAGACCGGACTGCCCTGGGCTTGCAACTGCGTGCTTCTAAAAAGCCCTAAAGCCCTAAAGCCCCAAGCCCTAAATTCCTTAAGCCCTAATGTAGGGGCCGTAATAATTAGAAGAAGGTTTTGGGGCCTTTTATAGTATAATTAATTTTGGGGTCCTTTATAGTATAATTTACTATAACCTAGTATAGGAAATCATCTAGCCCCTATATCCTCCACCCGAAAAGCCCTGGACCAGACCCCATGAAACTCCGAACGGGCGTCGGTTCGCGATCTGTGCGCCCCTTTGCCGCGCCGAGCGCCCCGTCGCCTGAACAGCAGAAGCCTTGCCAGGCGCGAGAACCCTAAACCTCCCTGAATTGGAGGAAACTACAGGGGGGAGTTTGGGGTATATAGGTTCCATAAAGCCTCCCCAAGGTATATAGACCTTCTATAAGACTCCTATAACGGTAACTACCCACCTGAAAATGTGGGTTCCGGCTTTAACTACGACCTACGTTCAGACTGAAATTAGAAGCCCTAAACCCTAAACGCTGAGTCGTACGAACCAGTATAAACCCCAAACCCTGAATCCTATAAACCGTAAGCCCTGGGTCCAACAGCTGAATAGTTTGGGGCTTGTCCATGTCATCAGGGTCGAAGGGAGAGAGAGGGGCGGCAACAAAGCCGGCAAAGTCTAAGCTCAGCGCACACCTAAATCACTCATACAGGAAATTGGGTAGATACCGCCTAAACCCTAAACCCCCAAACCCTAAACCCTAAGCTCCGCAACACCTCGTTGCGTGCGGCGCGTTCTGCCGCAGCTGCACGCTGCCACAGACCCAGGACAGAGGCCTCGTTCAAACACTGAGAGAACGGTCCGTTCTACTTTCCTAAGTGGGTTTGCTATAAGGGTTGCTATGAGCTTCCTATAAAGGGCTACTACAACGATAGGGATGCTGTAAAGGTTCCGTAGTGTTTGAGGTTTAAGGCTCCATGCGCCTATGGAGCCGTAGCTTCGGCCTTAAAGTACCAGGAAAACGGTACCTTAAGGCCCAAGACTATACCCATAGGCTCCGTGGTAGCTTTTTGGGATTACCTTATCCCTGAATCCTAAAAAAGATCCTATATGGGTAGGCACATGGAGCCCTAGGGCCGTTCGAGGGCCTGATAGGGATGCTGTAGGGGCCTTAATGGTCAGAATAGGGTTTTGGGGCTCCTTTAAGTAGAATTACAATAAGGAACTCTTAATAGGAATAACATAAGTAATGGCTTAGGCTTCCATATTAGGAATACTGTGGATCTAGGATCCTTACCTTATAGGATCCTTAATGCATACTGGGCTAAACCAATAAGGAACTACGATGGGGAGACTCCGCGAAGCAAGAGTTGTTTGAGCAGAGAGGATACGCATTCATGAACAAGCCTTTGACCAGCGACTCGAGGGTTAAGGCCATACCTAGGCCCCATAGTAGTTCCTTTCTGGGATTACCTAATAGGATCCTAAATATACGCCACAAAAAGGAACTACTATGGGGCCTATGGGTACTTATAGGCTCCAGTATAGTTCCTTTCGGTGGTTTCTATTTAGGACCCTATAAGGCAATCCCCGAAAGGAACTACAAGTAACTACAATGGAGCCTTGTGGGTATGCAGGCTTCCTCAGATTTTCAGCTTTCTACAGTACAGAGAACGAGGTTTCGGGGTGGTGCGTTGTGTTCAAGCACCGGATGTCGCAACAGAGCGGACTCGAAGGTAGACCGTTTCTGCTATATTCGTGAATATATAGCGACACCGACACTGAGGTACCCATCCCATTATCCCCTCTTGCAGCAGGATCTCTTTAAGCTAGTCTTGTTGCAGGCTTCGTAAGAGAATACCAAAACAGATTGGGCCTCACGGCCGTAACCACCCCCCTTAAACCCTAAATCCCTAAAACCCTGAACCCGGAGACAATCCCTAACCCTAAGGGTCCAAGTACCTAATAATCATATACTCTCCCAAATATTAACCTAGATGGCTACTATCCGCAACCAAAGTACCTGATTATTGGGTCCTTTGGACCCTTAGGGTAAGACAACCCCTAAGCTCGATCGAGCCCCAAAGCGCCAAACTGCTCGAAAAATGGATGCCCAGGCCTGCGTAAAGCAGGCTTTAAGAACTGTCTACAGTACTGTTGCTGATACAAAACCTGCATTACCTTAAGGGCCCTAGACTATGGGGATTATGGCTGGGTAATATAGGATTTATATCATCAACCGTAGGAGCCAGGAAGCTGGAACATCAGTATTCTCGTGCCCTCAAAAAATAGGGGCACAGGGAATCCTAGCACTAATCATCCTGAATGCCTGTTCCATTTTGCCGGGGTCCACCATGGATATACGATATAGCATCATTCTCATGCTCATGTCATCGTGGTAGAAGAACGATAATATCAGTGAATCAGTGCTCATGCTAGTTCCATTTTCTGGATTAGATGTACAGGGCACCACGACCGAACAGCATCAGACTCATCGTTCTTTTGACTGCCCTAAAGCCGAAGCTCTACACCCTCAAGGCCCTGTATTCCACTATACTCATGTTTCTCATTGTCCTAAATCCTATAAACCCCATAAACCCTGCACCCCAAATTCCACTGCACTTAAAACCCTTGACATGGCCTGCAGTCGCCCGGTACTACTCTGGCAGCAGGAAAGAGCCGCCCTCCGGGCGAGGTGCTTGGCTCGGCCTGGATTTCTTGCGGATTGATGCGGTTTAGGGTGTTAAAGTGTTTTTTTGAACTCCTTGAAGTTTTGGGGTTTAGGGCTTTAGGGCATTAGGTCTTAGGGTTTTAGAGTTTAGGGCTTTAGGGTTGGTTTTTGGTAGCTTGGGAAGTTTAGGGCTAAGGGTAGTTTATGGTTATAGACAATCTGGTTGGTTCGTCGCTATCTGGATTCGGGGTTGCTTCGGTCATGTTGAATTAGAGTTGCAGTTGAAGGGTTGGGTTGCGGAGGTTAACTGCAGAAGCCTTGAGTGATTGCTTCCTTGGGCAAGTCACCTGCGCTGCCTTCTGGATATCGGTGGAGCTATGGATAATGGCTAATTTATTGTCCGCAAAACGGTATTCTCGCCATCAGTTTTTTGAAGCTCTAATATACTGTGGTTGCCGAGCCATGCCGTTTTTGAGCAAAGTCCGGCTTAGACATGCTTGGCAGGAAAGGCTAGCGAGACGTCAATGATCATCCTCATGCACATAACTGTGAACTCCATCTTGCTAGCAAAAGCAATGATGGACATCAACATCACTGTAGTTCTGCTGATGATAGTGAGGCCGAGTCGAGATCCCTACCCCATACACCCTGACCCCGACCCTCCCTAATCCCTAAACCCCAGACCCTAGACCCTAGGCCCTAAACCCTAGACCCTAAACCTTAAACCTTAAACCCTAAATCCTAGACCCTGAACCCTAGACCCTAAATCCTAAACCATAAATCCTGGACCCTAGACCCTAAACCCTGAACCCCTAAACCCTAAAACCTAAACCCTAAATCCGAGACCCTAAACCCTAAACCCCTAAACCCTAAAACCTTAACACCCTAAACCCTAGATTTTAAACTCGTTTCTTTTGGTTGAAATTTGCTGGCAAACCTCGCTGTCCCTAGTTCGGAAGCTGCCGGGTCTTCCGAACCTGCTGTTTCCTCTTTGGCCCTGAGCCGTCAGGCCCTGTACTCTAAACCCCGAACCCTTGTAAGGGTTTAGGGTTTAGGGTTAAGGGTTTGGGGTTAAGGGTTTAGGGTGAAGGGTTTAGGGTTCAGGGTTTGTAAGGTTTAGGAATTAGGGTTTAAGTACCCATAGGCTCCATAGTAGTTCCTTTTTGGGATTACCTTCTAGGATCCTAAATACAAACCACAAAAAGGAACCACTACTATGTAGCCTAGGGGTAGGTAGAGCCTATAAAACTTAGGGGGTTTGGGGCTTAGAGTTTAGGGCATATGACGGCTAAGGGCGAGGTTTCGGGTGAGCATTGGCGGCGTGGCATACCGGTAAACTAGCTTGCAAGTAGGCCATCAGGGTTTAGGGTTTAGGGTTCGGTCGGCGAAACCTGGGTTTTCCGCCCAAGCGATCCTCTCAAGCCCATGGAGTGCCAAATCGTTGTACCGAGTTTTGCCTGTAAGCCACGGATGCTACACTCTCTCACGAAGAGTAAGCGATTTTAATAAGTTCTAGGTTCTTGTTTGTGAAACATGAAAACGCAGCTTCCACTGTGTAGTACGATGACGATTCTACGGAAGTTAGCACGTCCATACATTGCAGTCTTCTGAGGCCCCTTAATCAATGTTAGTTAAGATTAACTATGCACCTTTTCTGTACGATTCAGACTCGAAAGTTTCGATATTGGCCGTGGCAGATGGGTTCTGTCAGTCTACGTTGGAGTTTTCTGGAGCAGTTCCCCAAGTTCAGCATAGGTCCGGGCCACTTCAACATGCCCCTGTGCTGATGCCCCATGCGGCGGCGACCCACGCCAGCTGTTCAAGCTGCTCATGTCAGCTCTGGCTTGCAGAAGCATCCTCCGAATGTGTAGCGCTGTCCCAGAAATGCTCACCGAGTCTGTGTCAGCCCCGGCCGCCAGAAGCATTCGCACAGTCTCCGCATGGCCACGTGAGGACGCGAGCTGAAGGGCTGACTGGTCATTCACAGCCTTGATGTCTTTGTCTGCTCTAGCGTCCAACAGCAAACGCACAACTTCCGAATGACCAGAACTCGATGCCTCATGAAGAGCTGTCATGTAGGTGTCGCGATACGAAAGGTCTGTCAGAGCCCCTGCTTTCAACAAGATGCGCACTGTTTCCACATGGCCGCTCCTGGCTGCCAACTGTAGAGCTGTCTTTCCATCAGCACCTGTTAAGTTCGAGTCAGCCCTGGCTTCTAACAGCAACTCCAGCACTTCGACATGTCCTGCAGATGAGGCCTCTACGAGAGGTCTCTTTCCCATCTGCGTCCCAGGCAAATCTGCATCTTGGGGGCGCTGCAGAATCTTCTCGACCTCGAGTAGCTGGCCCGTTGCAGCCGCCTCAATCAATTCATCCCGGTGCTTCCTGTAGGCACGGCTGAAGGGAACTAAAACCAGCTGCAAGTCGAAGGCTGCTTTTGGCAAGGCGGTAGCATCATCCAGAACAGCGCCATCATGCAAAAGCCGTTGTCGGAATCGTGGCGTTTGACAGACTCGGGTCAGCTGCCGCTTCAACGCCAGGACATCACCGAGCTCCTCTGTGCAAACAGCGGCCAACTCTTCTCCAGAAGCTGACCAAACACGCAGTTGCCCAGATGCCAGGTCAGCACAGCCACCAGGCTCCATGTGCAATCAAGTTGTTTTGTAGGGGTTTTAGGGGTTTAGGGGTTTAGGGTTTAGGGGTTAGGGTTTAGGGTTTAGGGGTTTAGGGTTTAGGGTTTAGGTTTAGGGGTTTAGGGCTTGAGGTTGCGGAAGCCGCAGTCACGACGAATCAGCCCATCAGCTGGAAGAGTGAGTGATGTGTGAGATATTATTCTGCAAGCCACGTCTCGTGACTCTCATCTCCAAAATCAGAAATCCTGGAAATTCAAAAACCCCAAATCCTGCAAACGCCCCTAGACGAGACTTTCCCTTAACCCTCAAACCTAGACCCTAAACCGCTGGTCTTATCCGCGAAACTAATGCTTCCAAAGAGGCAGCATACCTAGAACCTCATTACTATGGGTATGAGTATGAGTATTATTATTATTAATGTTAGTACATATATTACTGTTATCATAATTACTATTCGTAGGAGTACTTTCATAATGTTAATCTAAGTAGTGTTGTTATCAATGTTATCGTGACGAACTCGCGCAAGCATGCCAGATTCAGGGATTCGACGGGGCTCAGGGTTTGAGGGCTGGGATTTCAGGGCCGGATATCGGGGATTAGATGTTTAGGGTTATGGGCCTTATGGGTTTAGGATTTAGGGTTTAGAGTTTAGGGATTCGGCTTTTCTTTTAAGTGCAATAGCCCCTTTATCCTCCACAGAGACTTGCCTCATATGAGGATGACCCCAGGAACGACAGAGACAAGACAGCTCCATCACTGACAACATCCAGCCTCGTTAGCCTCAGGCTAAACCCGAAAATCTAAACCCTAAACCCCTAAACCCTAAACCCCAAACCCCAAACCCTAAACCTCTAAACCCTAAGCCCTAAACCACTAAACCCTAAACGCTCAGATCAGCAACCGCAAGGCCACTTCACAACTCTGCATCATCCTCGTCAAGCAGCTGACTCCGACGAGCAACATCGGAGTCAGCTGGTTGACGAGGATGGTGTAGGGCTTAGGGGTTAGATGTTTAGGGCGTGGGGCGTAAGGTTCTCGACTTCTCAGCTTACTCTTCTACACTGACCAAGCGTCTGATATGGGTCATGACCTGGCGGAGTAAAAGAGAGCCCATTCAAGCAAGGAAACGATCCGTGGGAAGGTGTGTGTTTTTTCATAAGGGCTTTCCGAAACCGCTGAAGTTTGAGCAGAAATCCTGCGGGCACCTTTGCTAATTGCAGTCTCCACAGTTTCGATTACATGATCCTCCAGGTCGCTTTTGCTGCTCCTGCTGTGTGACCTCTAGAACTGTAGGGGCTCCTGTTGCTGGAAAAAAGGGGCCAACCGGCCAACCCTTGTCTTCGACTTTGTTGCTGCTAAACCCTACATTGGTTATAGACCCGAACGAGTTGCAAGAAGAATCTTTATGAACCCGGAAGACCGCCGTGGAAGGCTGCAGTTGCATTGCGGTTTCCTGAACCCCAAGCCCTGCGCCGGCACAGCTGGGCAGCCGACATCGCCGCTGCCAGGCAACGATGATCCTGCGCAGCGCAAAAGGTCATAATAAGGCTCTGAACTAGGCAAGACAGCGTGCACTTAAAGGATCATCGGACTTAAGGTAACTATACTTATAACCACAATTAGGGGACTTATAACCTTACTTACTAAGTCCCATGGTCCTCGAAGTAGGGTTTATAGGTTTCAGGTTTACAGGTTAAGTAAGATAGGGGGTCCAGACTGTCCAGCTATACTACGATTATGGACTGAGGTCCCCAAAGATCAGCCTTGCTCTGGCATTGGGGCCCTACCCATAGGCCCCATAGTAATTCCGTTTTGTGATTACCTTCTCGGATTCTAAATATGAACCCCCAAAAAAGGAACTACCATGGAGCCTCTGGGTAACTCCATAATTGCAGTCTGCTATTCTGGAATTAGGGCCCCAAAACCAGACGTAGTATATATGGACCCTCTTGCAAAGGAAGCGCGGGAGTTCAGGGTTAGGGCTTGGGGGGTTCAGGGTTTCGGGTTTTGTGGTTTGGAGTTGAGGCTTAGGGCTTGGGGAATTCAGGGTTTAGGTCTTGTGGTTTGGAGTTGAGGCTTGGGGCTTGGGGGGTTCAGGGTTTCGGGTTTTGTGGTTTGGAGTTGAGGCTTAGGGCTTGGGGGGTTCAGGGTTTAGGTCTTGTGGCTTGGAGTTGAGGGTTAGGGCTTGGGGAGTTTAGGGTCGAGGGCAAGGTCTAAAAGATTTCTAGGGTTTTGGGGTCTAATATAGGCGCCTTAATAATTAGAATAGGGTTTTGGGGCCCCATTAAACTACAATTATATAATAAGGAACCCGCAAAATACTATAGGCAATTATTCAGGCCTTTCTTATAGAGGGTTCAGGGTTTGGGTTTCGCCTGCAGCCTATGCGCGGAGGTAGGACTTAGGCTGCAACCCCAGCCTCGCGAGGAACAGCGTAGTGGAAGTGGCCTGGCAAGGACTCTAAAAGTCCGGTAGTAGAGGCACGCATAAACAGTAGGCAAAAAATCATAGTTTATGAATTATAATTCAACATTCTATTTAAAAAGATAATTTTGAAGCAAGGGCCTGAATAGTCTACTGCGAGTCCGTTAATAGTGACAAAGACTCAAATCACATAGCCCAGGATTCTGCCGGGTCTGTGCGCGTCTCTGACTTTGACTGTGTCGGGGTTCAGTGTTTCTGTCGTCGAGTGGTGGCCCAAGCCGAAACCATGAAATCTAAATCTAAACCCCATGACTGAAACCTGAACCCTAAAGTTTAAGCTCCGCATTCAGACATGTCTGCATCTCGGCAGCTACGACCTGAACCCTGAATCCTAAATAGGGTTTAGAGTTTCGGGTCTTCAGGAGTTACGTCCAAGTTGTGTCATGCAGCAGATGTTTGCGCCGTCCAGGTGGTGTGGCCCTTAAGGAACCATTACCAAGGCTGACGGGTAGCCAAAGTGAACAAATCACTAACTCGTTCAGAGTGCAAGGTACCCATAGGCTCCATAGTAGTTCCTTTTTGGGATTACCTTCTAGGGTCCTAAATACAAACCACAAAAAGGAACTACTATGGAACCTACGTGTAAGTCCATGATTTATACCCTAAACCCTAAACCCTGAGCGTCCGTGGATCCGGCCTCTCTTGCTCGCCCTGTCGCCTCCTCATCAGGAGACTTGATTGTAGGGTCTAGGGTTTAGGGTTTAGGGTTTAGGGTGTTTTCGTCTTCTATGCTTGGTGTTGCGTTGCCGTATTTGCCTGCTAGCCAACGCACGTCCTTCTTTGATCAACTGGCTTAATACCCGGAATCCGGAACCCGAAGCCTTACACGGCCCTACCCAGAAATTGGACAACCAAAGGAGGAACTAAGGAGAGTACGGGCATTGTAGGTTTAGGGTTTAGGGTTTCGGGTTTAGGGTTGCAGGGCGTTTGGAACAGTCTTTTGTGCTGGGCCGGGGGGGGGGGTCCAATAATAGTTCTACGGTTCTTTTGTGTGGGGAGCAGGAAGGGTCCAACACACTTTTACCTAGTTTTAAAATTTGGAACTGTGCCGCCTGGTACGATCAGCAATCAGTAGTTGTTGAGGCTCCTTCATTGGGACATTTGCGATTGGGTTTCGTGCTTAGTTCCGGGCAGTTCGGGGTTGTCGTGCCTTCGTCGTCTTGCAACCAGGGATGAACTGCAAAGTTGTGTTATGGTTGGCTTTGGGAGCTTAGCATGACTGGGGCTTAGGGTTCGGGGTATGGGATGTTGATTCAAGCTACCTACATTGCTGGAGTCTCGTTCCTTGGTTCTTAATCCTGTTAATACTGCTAGCAGGTGCAGTGGATTTTTACTGCCATGAAATGGTTGAAACATGCACCATGGCACTCCTGCAACCCGAAGAGTCATGCAACCGCTTTCGCCACCTTGGGCCCATGAGGAGAACGAGATCGCTTAACTGGGTTTAGATGTTGTATTTAAACGCAATGGGAGTATGTCGTAACCAAGCTGCTACTCATGATTAGAGTTTGGGCTTAAACCCTAAATCCTTATAAACCCTATACCCCAACACCATAAAACCGTAAACCCTAAACCCTAAACTCTACACCCTACACCCTAAACCCTAAACGGCCAAGATGCCTGTAGCTGGAAGAAGCGCTCCTGGCCGCTCCGGCAGGTCCAGTTTGGGGTTTTCTTAAAGGATACTACAGGTGAGGAGTTTAGGGCTTCCTATAAGGCTTCCATAAGGTATATAGACCTTCTGTAAGGCTCCTATAACGGTAACTACCCACGTGAAGATGTCCTACCCTAAACCCTAAACCCTAAACCCTAAACCCTAAACCCTAAACCCTAAACCCTAAACCCTAAACCCTAGTTTTTCCCATGGGATACAAGAGACTTGAGCCCTAAACTCTGATACACGACATCCCGAAGCTTCAACCTTAAAACACCCTAAACCCAAAACCTGAAAACCTAAACCCTAGTTGCTTAGGGTCTTAGGGGTTTAGGGGTTTAGGGTTTAGGGTTTAGTGGTTTAGTGGTTTAGTGGTTTAGGATTTAGTGGCTTGGGGTTTAGGGTGTAGGGGTTTAGGGCTTAGGGTTTAGTGGTTTAGTGGTTTAGTGGTTTAGTGGTTTAGTGGTTTAGTGGTTTAGGATTTAGTGGCTTAGGGTTTAGGGTGTAGGGGTTTAGGGCTTAGGGTTTAGTGGTTTAGGGTTTAGTGGTTTAGGGTTTAGGGTTTGGGCCTCAACCTCTTACATCCCCGGTCCTGAACCCAGGATTCCTGGATCCCGAGGGCAAACCCTGGAGAGTGCTCAGGTTCCGGGCCGTGGTTCTCAGGGTTTAGGGTTTAGGGTTTAGGGTTTAGGGCTTAGGGTTTAGGGTTTAGGGGTTTAGGGTTTCATTACAGATTCATGAGTCTTCCCTAAACCCTATAGTCCCTACACCCTAAACTTTTTGTCTCTAAACCGCTACAGCTTTGTTACAGGCAGCACACAAGCCACAGCGACTTGCAAGATCCTTGCAATACAAAAATAGGGCTTAGGGTTTA